TAAGTGAAAGAAGCCAGTCTACAAAAGAGCATATGTTGTATGAGTCTATTTATATGAAACACCTAGAACAACCAAATCCATAGAGAGAGTTATAGAAGGAAGCCAGCTGCTCTGTCATGATAACACTTAAGCAATCCTACATAAAGGTCTATCTGCAAAGGAAACGAAGCCTCCAGCCAATAGCCAGCGAGAAACCATGGTCTCCTGCCACAGCCATGTGAGTAAGCTTAGAAATGGATCCTCCAGCCCCAGTCAAGTCTTCAGATGACCAAAGCACCAGCAAACATTATGAATGCAACCTCAAAGCCAGAATCACTCAGTTAAGCTGCTCCTAAATTCCTGAGCCACAGAAACTATATGACACAATGTTGTTCTGTGTTTTTGGTTTCTTGGTTTTTTAATATTTTATTTTATTCATGAGAGACATACAAAGAGAGACAGAGACATAGGCAGAGGGAGAAGCAGGCTCCCTCTAGGAGCCTGATTTGAGACTCAATTCCAGGACCCTGGGATCACAACCTGAACCAAAGGCAGATGCTCTGAGCCACCCAGGTGCCCTAAGATAACGCTTATTATTGTTGTAAGCTGCTGAGTTTTAGAATAATTTGCTATGCTGAAACAGATAATTTATTGAATTTATTAATTCTCCAATAAAACTTTTAAAAGTTCAGGGTACCTGGGTGGCTCAGTCAGGAGAGCATTCCACTTTTGATCTAAGGGTTATAAGTTCAAGCCCAACACTGGATGTAGAGTTTACTTAAAAATAAAATCTTTGGGAGATCCCTGGGTGGCTCAGCAGTTTAGTGCCTGTCTGGCCCAGGGCGTGATCTTGGGTCCCGGGATTGAGTGTGTGTCAGGCTCCCTGCATGGAGCCTGCTTCCCCTCTGCCTGTGTCTCTGCCTCTCTCTCCCCCCCCCCACCCTCTCTCTCTTATGAATAAATAAAATCTTTTTAAAAAGTAAAATAAAATCTTTAAAAATAAAAAACTTTTAAAAGTCTGTGTGTACTAGTATACTCATTTACCTTATTTACTAAGCAACTGATCATTCATGTACAGAGCAAAATTCTCCAATTAGCAAATAGCTAATCTACATATACAAAGAAAAATAACCAGATAAATGATTTCCTTAATTCTTTTTATTTTTTTAAATGATTCCCTTTAAAAACAAATAAGTAAACAGGAAACCAAGAATACAAGAACTTCTTTTTAAAGATTTATTGAGAGCACAAAGCCCAATGCAGGGCTCGATCTCACAACTCAGATCATGACCTGAGCTGATTATCAAAAGCTAAGCACTTAACCAACTGAGCCACCCAGGTGCCCAAACACTAGAGCTTTTATTGAAAGGCCTGAAGTATTATAGAATAGTCTTTCAAGGAAAAAAAAAAAAAACTTCAAATAAAAGCTAAAGCCACTATTCAAGAAAGGTTACACTTTTGGGACCCCTGGGTGGCTCAGCGGGTGAGCATTTGCCTTCGGCTCAGGGCATGATCCCAGGGTCCAGGGATCAAGTCCCACATTGGGCTCCCTGTAGGGAGCTTGCATCACTCTCTGCCTCTCTTATGAATTAAAAAAAAAAAGATTAATAACTAAAAAGATTTATTTACTTATGAGAGATAAAGAGAGAGAGAGAGAGAGACAGAGAGAAAGAGACAGGCAGAGAGAGACAGTTGAGTTGACCTGCAGTAAGCAACCAATACAAAAATAAGGAGGGAAATAAGCAATGGGAAAACTTTGTCAGAAGAAGATTAAATCTGATACAGAACTTAGCAAAATTTGTATAGGATATAAAGTTAGAAAGTCATGTTTACGAGGGATCTTTTTTATTATTCAATTAATTACCATACACTGTATTTTTAGTTTTGGAGGTAGAGTTTAGTGATTCATCAGTCTTATATAATACCCAGTACTCATTACATCACGTGCCTCCCTTAATATCCGTCACCTAGCTATCCCACGCCCCCAATCCTCTCCAGCAACTCTCAGTTTGTTTCCTATGGTTAAGAGTCTTACAGGGGATCTTTTTGGGGAGCTGGGAATATAACACCAGAGTGTAGTAACAGTTACACAACTCTACAAATTTACTAAAATTATTGACTTGTACACTTTAAACAGGGAAATTTTGCAGTATATAAATTACACATCAATAAAGCTATTACTTAAAAAGTGGTATTTGTGGGACACCTGGGTGGCTCAGCGGTTGAGCACCTGCCTTTGGCCCACGGTGTGATCCTGGAGTCCCGGGATGGAGTTCCACGTCAGGCTCCCTGCATGGAGCTTACTTCTCTCTCTGCCTACGCCTCTGCCTCTGTGTCTCTCATGAATAAATAAAATCTTTTTTTTTAAGATTTATTTATTTATTTATTTATTTATTTATTTATTTATTTATTTATGATAGACAGAGAGAGAGAGAGAGAGGCAGAGACACAGAAGGAAGGAGAAGCAGGCTCCATGCCAGGAGCCCAACGTGGGACTCGATCCAGGGACTCCAGGATCGCGCCCTGGGCCAAAGGCAGGCGCCAAACCGCTAAGCCTAAATAAAATCTTTAAAAAAAAGTGGTATTTGTCTGCTGAAGCAAGAAGGGATAATTTTGTTATTAGAGTTCCTGACCAAAGAAAGAAGTAGCCAAGAGAAAAAGTACAATAATTCATTCTATAGACAGGAAAATAAAAATGAAAATTGTCACATATTAAGAAATATTAATATTTCCATTTCAGCCCAATAAAGGACAGTATTGTGTCACTAGGTAACTGTATAAACTTTGCTAAGACCACAAAAGCTTACTATTTTAAGAGTAAAAAGACAATAGATTTGGAGACATTAAATGTGGAATCAGGGGAAGAAATACTCCACCTTAATTTCCTATCACCTGGGAGAGAGGTAACAATTTATTCTAATCCCATATGTCTGAGATGTAGAGATGGTATCTCCTATCAGAGAAGAATTTCAAGAGGACATTTTAAAGCAGAAAATCAAATCTAGAATCATTCCAAAAGAATGTATGACAATTTCTTTACCAGCAAGATGACAACAGTCAATTCCCTCAGCCAGCAAAAGATCCAAATGGGGAATTTTTTGGTATTTTTGGAGAAGTTTAATTTGCATTGGTTCAGGGGCTTTTGCAGAAGTTGCCCAACACAGCAGCACTGTATTTTACTCACCCATGTGCAACTACAGAGACCAAGCAAAACTGTACTTATAAACAACCACAATTCACATTTGCTTTGAGCTATGAAAATATTAACCTACTCTGACTTCAGCAAAGCCTGGCTCAAGAGTCTCAACTTCCCAAAACAGCTAAGGTGTCTCTAATTTCAGATCTGCTAGTCTCCTTTCTGTCTTTGGCTAAATCAGTAGCAAGTCTGTTTTTATTTTCCAGACAAAAACAAAAACAAAAAAATTCCACTAACTCATGCAGGTAATTTTTTTCCTTCATAAAAGAAGGTTCTAGCAGACATATATGAAGTAACATGTATCAATATCTAAACCTCTTCCTTCTAAGTGGCTACAAAAAAGATCAGAATAGTTCAAGGAAGTGATATCCATGATGTCATCCACTTAGACTTGAAAAAGTACAATATCAATGAACTTTGTATGTTTCAATAAAAGAACACATTGTGAAAATTTACAGTAGCATGCCTAATCCTTAGGCATTCAGTAAATTTTAGTTTCTTTCCTTTCCATTAATCCTTACAGTATTTCCATGAAATAGTTCTTATTTATACTATCCCCAATAAAAAGCAGGAAAACAGAAAGATAATTTCCTGAGTGACCCATCCAGACCAGACATGACATTCAGGCCTCCAGATGATAATGAAGGAAATTAAACTTTCGTCAACTCTTCTACCTCTCTTCCTAGGCAGCAGTGTCAATTCCAAGGACCATGTTCCTTTTGCTACAGAAAGTAGCTCAATGGGGCACCTGGCTGGCTCAGTTGCTGGAGCATGCAACTGTTGATCTCAGGGTTGTAAGTTCAAGCCCTACATCAGACATAAAGCTTACTTAAAAAAAAAAAAAAAAAAAGTAACTCAACTGCTTTTCCTTGTAGCAACGTATTTATGATTACTGTTCTTTGTGACTGAGAGCAAGGAATCTCAAGAATTTTTGCTGTTCTACCTGCAGGTACAAGAGTCCAAGATTGTCAGCAACCTCTGGACCCTCTACAAAGTTCACAAGATTCCTGGTTGGAGAGATTGTAGGGAGTAGTGTCACCATCTTTTTGGCTACCAAGTTCACTCTCTGAGTGATCCAAGTTTCCTGCAATCATGAGCAATGGGATCTCCACATACCTAAGAACACAGAAAACTAGAACTATGTGAACCAGCACTACCTTACTTTGACAGGAAATGTTCTGACGGAAATAGGTTTGCAGAGCTGTGTGAAGCTGCCATCTATAGCTTTCTGCAGGCATCTGACACAAGACAGATACAGGAGCCAAAGCCATATCTGCTGTATTTTTGTTTAGCCCAGAGCTTAAGATAGGAACACAAGCATGTTACCGTCAAATCAAACTCTAGTGTTGCAGATAGACAGATTCTGTCACCAGTAACAAAATTTATAATTGCCATGATGGCCTGGCTACTGTCAAAACAGGCCCTCTGTTGCATTTAGTCTACTATTCTCACATAAGCTACAGAACATTAAAGTGACCAGAAGAATTACCTAGCCCATTACCCCAAGTCAGTTTACACAATGGCTCTAATACAAGAGCTTCTGCCCTCCAAGGACTGGATCACGGTTTATATACACGTGTGAATTCATGGTTCTGCAATACAACCACCAAAATGCGTAACTAGTTATGCTGTTTCTCAGCATTCAATAAATTTTAACAAGATACTGTATGTAGTCCACAACATTAGAAGACTGACCATCACGGAGCTATGAGAGTGCATCCTTAAACAATAATCAAATCTGATCTATTCTATAGTTCAGAACTGTAAATATTAACAGAACAGCTTAGGAAAGGAGCAGGGAAATGTAAACAAACCTGGAACCTACCTTGTTTACAACTCCCACAGACAGATGAAATTCAATTCCATGCTAACCATACCCCTCGATCACTAAAACACAAACAGAAAAATAAAAGTTCATGCAATATAAGCAGTTCTTCCAGTTCCTAAAGGGCATTTGGTTTCAAAGGTATGAAGCTGTTTATCTCCTTTTTTTTTTTTTATTTTTTTTTTATTTTTTTTTTTTATTTATTTATGATAGTCACACAGTGAGAGAGAGAGAGAGAGAGAGAGAGAGAGGCAGAGACACAGGCAGAGGGAGAAGCAGGCTCCAAGCACCGGGAGCCCGACGTGGGATTCGATCCCGGGTCTCCAGGATCGCGCCCTGGGCCAAAGGCAGGCGCCAAACCGCTGCGCCACCCAGGGATCCCTGTTTATCTCCTTTCTATCCTCTTCATGCCTACAACAGTCGTTGAGTTCTGTCACTGGCAAAAACGCCCAGATAGGTGGAGCTAAGTGATAGGTAACACTTGACTGAGCACTTACTATATATGCTAGGCACTGTTCTAAGCACTTAATGTTCTAATTTAATCTTCAACAACCCTGTGAGTTAATTACTCTTAAGTTATTTTACATCCAAATCACAACTGACCTATACCTCTGAAAATTGCTCTTACTGGTGTTAAGAAATGCCTTTTAAATAAATGTAGGTGATCTCGACCACTGTAGCTGGGCTGTCTCAATAGCTGATATATCTACAAATGTTCCGTATTCATCCATTCATTATGTATTTCTTGAGTTCTCACAATGTGCTGAGCACTATAGCAGGTGCTAAAGAGGATTTATCCTGTCTTTTAAGAGAAACTAGTTGGGGAGATCAGACTATACTACAAGAAATGGTTCAAGAAATGGAATGCCCTTGGGCAGCCCGGTGGCTCAGCGGTTTAGTGCCACCTTCAGCCCAGGGCCTGATCCTGGAGATCTGGGATCGAGTCCCACATCAGGCTCCCTGCTTCGGAGAGCCTGCTTCTCCCTCTGCCAGGCTCGCTCGCTCGCTCTCTCTCTCTCTCTCGCTCTCTGTGTGTGTCTCTCTCATGAATAAATAAAATCTTAAAAAAAATGGAATGCCCTTTTATGAGGTATACTCTCTTGTACAACTATTCAGTAAAAACAATAAGCTTTGACAAAAGGGGAGGAAAGCTTCACATAAAAGCCAGACCTTTAAAAAAAGGTACATCAGCAAAGAGAGGAGAAAGGCTTTTCAGGCAAGGAAATGTGACCAAAACAGGGTGGCAGGGACACATTGTGTATCTGAGGTCCTTCATAATCTTTTTTTTTATTTTTTTTATTTTTTTTTTATTTTTTTTTTATTTTTTTTTTTGGGGTCCTTCATAATCTGAAGCACCCAGCCACTGATCTCCCTCCTCTTTCCATTAGCTGTACCAAACTTCTTACTTCTGGGATATACAATCTTTGATAGTTCCACAATTTTCTTACTGCATAAAATGCTCCCCTACCCCTTTCCCTGGTAGGTAGCATTAACTAATCCTAGTAAACAGTAGGCACTCAATAAACTACAGCTAGTTAGAAATCATTTTTATTATTAAAGGTTCAATTGAAACATTTTTCTAAAGCCTTTTCCAACTCCCCAGAGTTAATCTACTTGCCTCTCCACCACACTCACATGGCATTTGTCCATTTTTCCATTAGAGCGATAAAACATTTTATTGTCCCCACGTTTCCTCTTTCTTTTTCTCTTGTCTGAACAGGAATCATCTTTCATACAACTCAATGTGCCCTAACACAGTGTCTGGCACATAACAGGTGCCCGTTATAGTATTGTTGACTGAAATACCATTGACCCAAATTTACAAAATAAATAATAAAAGGATTCCTCTAAAATGTCAGTTCCTTTAGTACATTTAAATGATCATTTGTCAAAATCTAATGCACTTCTACATTTTCATGAATACATCTGCTATGTAACTATGCCAACAATTCATGCACAAAAAGTCAAAGTGAAAAAAAAAAGTCAAAGTGGATTCACTAAAAACTACCAGGCTCACTACTTTTTGCTTAACAACAAAATGAGGTCTTCATTCATGCCAACTGAGACAGAAAAAATTAACTGAATTGATAATTTAGATATTGTGGCTGGAGACCATTCTCAGGGAAATAGTGCCACAGCTTTGTATGCAGTCTGCATGTTTAAATAGGTATTTATATTGGCTTTAGCCATGGATCGTGGAGGTTACAAATTTAGAAGTTCAATCATAAATCCAAGATTTATTTATAGAAACTTTCCATATGGTAGGAGTTTAAGAAGTAAAACAGCAGCCTTTTTGCCTGCCGAAAGCAGAGAGTAGCAGAGCGCCAAAGGAATAAACCCTCTCCTGACTCTGCTCCTGGCACTGTTCAAAGCAGAGGAAGAAATGTGCAGGGCAAGCAAGAGCCTTGCTGAAAACCAGTCACCCAGGGCAACGGGCATTTTGAATGTCTGTGCTATTCAAGGCTTAAATATTAATTGTATACATGCCCATGTTCATTTAAAGCACAACTTGTGGCTTGGAACTTAAAAAATATTCTAATGTGCTAGTTTGTCCACATATTAATGGAGTCAGCCAGGTTTTAACACGCCAAGCTTAAAATACTCTCTAAATCATTATGCAAAGGTATGAACTCAATCCTTTATTCTCAGGAAAAGGCACTTAAAGGAGAAAGACTAAAGCAGTAGTATTTCTAGGGAAGTCATAACAGAAAAAGTCAACTCCTACACAGTGATGAGTTATCTTTTAAAAATAGATGAATAGAAAGAAGATATAAGATAATGACAAATTACTTTCAATTATTAACATCAAAATGAGATCCAGGATTTTTAGTTCAATGTTGTCAGAGAATGCATTTTGAAACTGTCTTCTAAATGAGACCTTCTTATAAAAAAGTTGTTTTAGTCATCCACTGACTAAGCCCCTTTAGAATCCAGTCTTATGCTACACTGAAATGAATTATATTTTTATGTGAACGGTATTATAAACAAAGTTCTTCTAATCTTTTATATTACTAGCTTTAGAAAAATTCCAATAAAATGACTAAAATTTTATAACTAAACCCTGGAAGTTTACACATCCAATCTCTTCATTCTCAGTTGGGAAACCAGAGTAGATGAGGTTCAGTGACTTGATAACATAAAAACTTGGGCCAGAATCTGATTACTAGTCCAGTGTCTTTATCCTACTACATATTACAGAACACACAGCTTTATTAAGACAGAAAATGCTTTGGAAATTATAGAAGAAAAATTTAAATACCTACAAGCTTTCCCTAACTGAAAATAATTTAAAAATTAAATGTGTGTGCCCTGAAGTTTTAGAAAGGCTGTTTCTTTAAAAATTAGGCATTTGGGACGCCTGGGTGCCTCAGCAGTTGAACAGCTGCCTTCGGCTCAGGACGTGGTCCTGGAGTTCTGGGATCAAGTCTCGTGTCAGGCTCCTACATGGAGCCTCCTTCTCCTCCCTCTGTGCCTCTCTCTGTCTCTGTGTTTTTATTTATTCATGAGAAACAGAGGGAGAGAGAGAGGCAGGTGACATAGGCAGAGGAAGAAGCAGGTTCCATGCAGGTAGACTGATGCGGGACTCGATCCCAGGACTCCAGGATCATGCCCTGGGCCAAAGGCAGGCACTAAACCGCTGAACCACCCAGGAAATCCCCCTAAAATATAACATTTTCTTAATGACTGAATGACTCTCCTATGCTTACAAATGTGACTGCAGGAGAAGGAGCTGAATGACCTAGCTGGTTATTGTATCACCCACCAGAAAGCACATCTCCACCATCATTGAAGTCTGAGCATCCGTGTGGGGAACACCTGCCTTCATTGTGGAACAGCGTATCTGTGCCCTCCCTACACATACTCCCACTCTCATGCATGCACAGCTACACCTAAAGGAGAGGGGTTCGGGGGTGGGGGTTAAAGTATATGTTAAAATATATTTCACATAAAATTTAGCATTTTAACCTTATTTATTTATTTATTTATTTATTTATTTATTTATTTATTTATTTATTTATTTATGATAGTCACACAGAGAAAGAGAGAGAGAGAGGCAGAGACACAGGCAGAGGGAGAAGCAGGCTCCATGCACCGGGAGCCCGACGTGGGATTCGATCCCGGGTCTCCAGGATCGCGCCCTGGGCCAAAGGCAGGCGCCAAACCACTGTGCCACCCAGGGATCCCATTTTAACCATTCTTAACGTGTACAATTCAGTGGCAACAAGTGCATTCACAATGTTGTGCAACCATCACCACTATCCATCTCCAGAATTTTTCATCATCCGAAATAGAAACGCTACCCGTTAGACAGTAACTCCCCATTTCTCCTCCCTCTGGTCCCTGATAACATCTACTCTACTTTCTATCTCTATGTATTTGCCTATTCTATAAGCCTCATGTAAGTGAAATCATACAATATCTGTCTCTTTGTATCCAGGAATCTTTCACTTAGCATAATATCTTCAAGGTTCATTCACCTTGTAGCATGTATCAGAATTTCCTTTTCAACACTAAATAACATTCTATTGTATGTACATTATCACATTTTGTTTATCCATTCATCAGTGGAGGGACACTTAGATTGTTTCCACCTTTTGGCTACTGTAAATAATGCTGCTGTAAACACTGATGTACAAGTATCTGTTTAAGTCCCCACTTTCAATTCTTTTGAGTGTCACTCAGGAGTAGAATTGCTGAATTGTATGGAAATTTTATGTTTAACATTCTGAGGAACCAAAATTGCTTTTCACGGTGGCTGTACCAGTGTATATTCTCACCAACGATGCACGAGGGTTCCAGTTTCTCCTCAGTTTTTTTTTGTTGTTGTTGTTGTTTTGTTTTGTTTTGTTTTGTTTTTGATAATAGCTATCCTAACAAGTCTCAAGTGGTATCTCACTGTGGTTTTCATTTACATTCAAAGGAAAGGGTCCTTCTGTCTATGGCTTTAATATATTTTGTATCTGAAAGTGTTCCTATGGCACTTGCCCATCTCCACTCCACAAAGATGTGTCTTATCTTCTGGCTCTCCATGATGGTTCTCAAGAATCTACCACTCATTCCC